ATATATTAAAATAGATTGATTATATTCGTTCAGAAAACCTAATAATAAAAAACTCCAAATAACTTTTTTTTAACACCATCCTTATTTTAATGTTTCTTGTAAAAACATCAAGCAAGAAGAATTAATTTACGTGAATATAGTTTTTTTTTTAATATTTTGGGTGTGATTGGTTTGCATTGTTAGAATATTAGTGTATGTATAACCCCAATAGTTTTGCATAGAGTTTATTAGTTATTTAGCCCATGTGTGTTTGTGGCCCATTTATGTTTTGTAAATCGGTATATATTTTCATATTTGAATGCAAAGGCAATCATCACAATTTCATGGTATCAGATATTCGGATGTTTAAAATCCCAATTTGGCATACACTAACAATTACAATAAATAGCAACTACGTTTCATCTTCGTTAGATATTGCGAAAATGTACAAATATTAAAGGTACGTACAAAGTGGTTGAGTAGGCGTGCTACGTTTACTATATTTGTTGCATCTACTACCACTTTATTGAGCTGAAAATCAAGATTTACAGTGAAATGACTAAATACTTATTTGAAACATTTTGTTCATTTGTTCAAATGTGATAGCCATAAGTAACTATAATGTTACATGAATTATCCTCCCTAATAAATCAAAATCTTTTTGTCACATGTCCTCTTCTCTTTCATTTGGACACATGGCATTTTCTAAAATTTTTGAATTTTTTATTTTCCACTTGTCATTTTATTAAATTAAAATTCAATATTTAATATGTAAGTTATTTATTAGAAAGGGTTTATATATGTAATGTATTCAATGTATTAAAGCCTCATTAATTTTAATAATTCAAAATTTTTCTCATTTTTGTTATAAATTCAAACTTTTTAAATTGTTAAAATTTCATATTTTTTTTAAATAAACTCATGTAATACATAGGTCTCACACCTAATTATGATAACAAATAACATAGAAAAATATTCATTACTATGATAGCTTAGATACAAAATAATATCTTAAAAGTCATGAATCTAACTCATTTTCAGAAGAAAATTACCATTTCTTGATTCATATTACAAGATCACCACAATCAAAATTAGCCATCTTAAGAAAAGCACTAGGTGTATATTTTGAAAACCACACTTTCCTCAAGAAACTCATCATCATACCCTTGCTCTCTTGCATAAACCCCACACAATAAGCCACACTAATCAAACTAAAACTTCTCCACCTCCTTTCCTTTCCATATTTCTTCAAACCCTTTTCAATCCTCTCAAACTCATCATCTTTTCCATCAACTTTTTTCAAAAGAGCCTCCCCAATACACCTTCCAAGAACTACCGAATCTTCTAACGATGAACACCCACCTTGACCTATATCAGGAGTCATTGGATGAAGGGCATCCCCAGCTACACAAACATTGTCTTTCACTATGTCTCCAAATAAAACATTCCATGGTAATCTGAACTTTAATGGCGACAAAGATATGCTAGTTATCAATGTTCTTTCCACCACATCTTGTGCTTCTTGAGGCATCTTGTTTATCTGACTCAATACAAATTGCTTCATTTTTATAGGGTTTTCATACCAATCTTCTTCATCTATGAGAAAAGAAGTGATTCTTGAGTCTTGACTCTGAATATAAGTATATATAATATGTTTTATAAATCATATTAAAAAACGACTTACAAGATGGAACTTGAGATGGGGTGAAGGTGCAAAACCAGTAGACAGTCTTGTCATCAACGGGAAGAAAACCATAGCGTACACCACCTCCAAAGTTGACATGAAACATTGGGTCAAAACCCGACCCATTTGGGAACTCAACCAAGCCCCGAATAGCTGACCTCCCGACACTCACGGGTGACCCGAGACCCAACCATTTTGCCACCACTGAGTTAACTCCATCGCATCCAATCAAGACCTACATTGATACATTAATGACTGAGAGAGATATATATACGACATCTATAATTCATCAAAGTAAAACCGTTTAAAGAGACTATTACTTTGGTTTTGAGAATGGTGCCATCGGCTAAGTGCACGAGCTTGAAGCGATCGTGTTCATCAATGGTGACGACCTTGGAAGAGTATCTAATGGTGCCTGGTGGAAGCTCCTTGACTAATGTCTCCATTAAATCCTTTCGCTTAACACATCGGCTTTCATAACCTTTGCTATAAATCAAGATTTACAGTCATTACAGTTTATATATAGAAAGAAATACCATATACATAAGCAAATCTCTGAAAAAACGAAATGTGAAATGATTTGAATTGTGTCGTTATAATTATATATGAAACATGTTTACTCACAATTTTCCATCTTTGTCGAGAGCTTGTTGTGAAGTAAAAAGTCCAGTATCAGGAGATGCGATCTTGAATCTGGAACAACAAAACCGAGTTAATTATAGAATTACTGGAATAACCCTGGTTATATTGACTATTTTACCCTTTCATTTGGGTAGACTTTTGTCTTAGGGAATCCCCGATTCCAACCGCATCGAGTGCCTTCCAAGCATTGGTCCATAGTGTAAGGGCGAATCCGGTAATTCGCAAGCTCTCTGATGACTCCAACACCAAGCTCTTCAAACCCAATCTTGATGAAACAAAAAAAAAAAAAACAAGGTTAATATTTGAAGGGCAAATCTTGTTCATTGGGTCATAATTGATTCAAATACATGAATACTGTACAAGTAACTAAAGCACAAAGGAACGAGCTTTTATGAATTGCTTCAATCAGTGGTGAGTGAGTGAGTTTTCCCGATGGTGGTGATTGGATGAGTTGCAGGGTACAAGTGAGTGAAGCGTGCAAAAGAGATGGTGCAATAGAATTGGAATACCTGTGAAGAGACAAGGCAGTAGTGAGACCAGCTAACCCAGCACCAACAATCACTATATCTTCATCTTCATAAACCTCCATGGTTGTTCTGTTGATTTCTGACTTTGTGTAGGTTTTTTTTGTTTGTATTAAGAGTAAAGCTAAAATCATTTGAGTTGAGGTGGAGGAGAATGTGTTTCTGCCTTTATATATATTACGAGACGTGACCAAATAGCACACTTCAATCTCCTACTCAATATTGTATTATAATCATATGTGAGGTACCCGGCAGGCGGCGGATCCTCATTTTCTAGCAGGATATGTCGATATGACATACGTCATACGATATGCAACTCCCAAAACCAATCAAAATTTATTATTATTATTATTATTATTAGATAATATTTAACAAATTTTTTTTTTTTTTTTTTAAACGGCAAACAAATTAAACGGAAGTCTATTCGCAACATTTCAGCGAACACCCCCGGATCGGATTCGATTTTCCTTTACGCCCACATATATCTATTTTAATATAATGTTGGCAGTGCTATGATTTTAATTCTTTGTAAAGTTAGTCATTACAAATTAATTTTAATACTATTTTATAATATTTTTATAGTTTTCCTAATAATTTTTAATTAATAAAAGTATTAATTAAAAAATCAAACTATATCACACACCCACTTGTCCCTATTCACTACCATTTCACGTTCCCCTTCTCCTTGATACCCCTGACGACACAGCATACCCCACCCGCCCCTTCCTTTGACATTCCCCTTTCCTTAATCAGATAAACTCTAAAAGGAAAAACACTTAACACTAAAGTTGTATCTCGTAGAGAAAAACATAAGTGGTCAAACAATTGCATAGTATATTATGATGTTGGTACAAGGAGACCATTAACAATGGCTTAATTGGCAGCAATAGTGGTTGTTTCATACAGTGACAACTCTTGCATACATTGATTTTTTTCGGGCCATACATAGCTAGGTTACAAATATATATTGAAAATCAAAATCCAAAACCCATAAGAAATTTTATAAGGAAACCACAAGGACTAGTTTGTAGTATTTCCAACCTTGTTTTGATGTTGCTACTTTTTGAAAAACACATGGAACCATTTGGGACATTTTGTCTTATTATTAATTTGAAAGTACATTGCTAAAACAATGTGAAAATAGAAAGTAACATACTATATCTCACTAAATCATTCATGTATTGTATGTGACATATACATATCACAATATCACATGTCATCACGATAAACACACTTGTTTAAATGTTTAAATTTGTGTCTAACCCATGTACAACATGAAACACAAATTTGAAAATCGTAAAGACACAAATCAACACAAAACACAAATTTGCAAAATCCATACACAAAAAACACAAGTCGTGTCAATCATCTCATATGTCAAAATGTGAGGTCGAATAAATAGGTAAAAACATGGGCTCGGGTCAGAAGATGCAAAATAAAAACAGGCCAGTGTTGACCAACTATAACTTATACATGAAACATATATATGCCAACAAGATCATTCAAGAAAACGCATCACGATAAATTCATAATATATTGTTTTTGTTGTTTTTATAACTCAATATTTGGTGATTTCTTAAACCTTTTAAAATTTAAGTTTAAAACTCGTTACCTTCTATCTAAGGTAGTAAAAACGATTAAATTTGAAATCACATAATCAACTACTTGTGTTATTTTTAGATTATGTGAGCTTAAAAATAGTATTTGGCGAATCAAGAGTCTAAATTGCATGGTTGCAATACTAGAAAATCAAACACATGAACTATAAATCCTACAGCCAAAAATCAAGAACAAAAATTACAATAAAAATTGAAAAAATCAAATAACAATAAAAAAAAGTACTAAAACTTAGTCTACACTTTTGGTACAAACTCATTTCCTAAGTCAAATTATCCCAAACTTTTAATAAAAAAAAAAATTCAAAAACCAAACATAGAAATGCCAGGCATCATCATCCAAACACTCATGATAAAAAAAAAACATAGCCACCTTTTTTTTAATCACCACCACCAACACCTGCACCTTGATTTGGCCTGGTTGACCTGAACCCACGTCCCCTGCCACGTGTCCCCCTCCCACGACCACGCCCTATTCCATCCAAATATATTAATCAACCATAGTAATTTACATTTTTAGTCCCCAAGTTTCATTAGATTTTTCAATTTAGGACCAAAACTGAAAACTTTAACAAAACTCAGGGACAGAAAGGGTAAATTTTGTCAACTTTTTAACATACCTCGAAATTCTTGATTATAGCCTCCAACATCTTGTTGATTATCCATATAAGCATTATTATTATTATTATTATTAAAATCATTATTATTATTATTGTAACCACCACCCCTTCCACGACCACGGAAATTACGTCCTCTACCCCTGGGAGACTCTTGATTGTTGTACCCACCAAAATCTTGTTGGTTGTTTTCCATGTAAGGGCCATTGTTGTAGCCACCCCTTCCACGCCCACGGAAATTACGACCCCTACCCCTTGGAGACTCTTGGTTGTTGTAACCTCCTACTTCCTGTTGAGTGTCCATGTAAGGGGCATTATTGTAATTTCCCCTTCCACGCCCACGGAACCCACGTCCCCTTCCCCTTCCTCTCCCCCTGGGAGGATACCCACCGGGACCATCCCAACCCCCATCATCATACTCATCTGGTCCGTAACCATTTCCTTTTATCATATAACAAAAACAAGAAATAGCAATTTACTTTAAAATCTTTTAACAATAATTTTAAAAAAAATATATATTATTTATTTTTTACACATAATACCTGGTGCAGGTCTAGAACGCCCTCTTCCCCTTCCACCACGACCTCTGCCCCTTGCAGTTGGTGATCCTTCTAAAAAAATAAAAAGAATCAAAATATAAAATTTCTAAAAAGTTGACAAATTTATGACATGTGTAGAGTATTTAAAATTTAATATATTATAAATTTATACCTCCATCATATTCAAATTCAGTCGCCACCTTGACCTGGTCAGCTGGCAATGGTGGTTGGTACCTGAAAATAGGTTAACCAAGTAAATTTTAAGGAATAATTTATAAAAAAATGATAATGCAAAAAGAAAAAAGAAAAATGAATTGTTAACTAACTCACCCAATAGATGATGTATTCAACTCCTTCTTGGAGAGAGTTATAGTGATCATTGAAACGTGCCTTGTTGTCTCAAGGCTGCAAGAAAAATAAAAATAAAAAGTTGAGAAATTTATGAAATGTGGAGAAGTGGAATATTGGAGGTGTGTTTTTTAAGAAGTTTGAATGTTGTCTTACGGAAGTAATCCTTCCTCTAAGGGTTCCCAGGTGTCAGTTATGTCTGTGGATCCAATGGATGTATTTTGATGAAGCCCAACAATTCGCCTCTAAACATATATGATGAAAGAAGATTGTGATAAATAGTAAAAATTTGGAGAATGTAATATAAGTGTGTAGATAAAAAAGAGCAAACCTTTATCAATTCCACAATAGTAACAGTCTTGTTGATGGCTCTTCCCATTGCTTTGAATACAATCTCTGATGAACCTTTTTCCTGGAAAGCAAATAAATAGAAAGATTTAAGTTCATAGTAAGTACTATTTACATACACCATAGTTTATAAAACTTGAAAAAAGATGAAGGTATTAGTGAACTACCAGATGCTGTGAGTTTAACATTCATGAAGAGTTTACCTGAAGCAATGTCATTGCATAGGTGATATAGCTTCGCATCCTTCCCTGGCTAGTAATTCGGATCTCATTCTCATCAATTGGTTGCTCTGCTCTAGGCTTCTCCACCTTCTGATAACGATCCATCCTTCAAAGAAGAAACATTTACAGACATTAAGCACAAACTAGAACAAGTCGGGATTCAAAAAACCCCACAAGAAGATATTATCCATTTAAGGATAGCGAAGAATTAGATAAAGCATCTCCAAATCACCAGATTTACACAAGCACCATAAAATCTAGGGTTTTCTCAACAACTATACAATGGTCAAAGAATAGATAAATGTTAGGTAAAGCACACAGCAAGTAATTGATTGTTGATAAATCTTAGGAGCAAACATATACATCGACAAAAAATTGAGTCTTTTAACTTTTACATAGAGTAAAAATTGCAGCTAATGAACTTTGTAATTAGTATAGATATGTACAGATACGATCAGCACGAGTAATGAAACATCAGAATTACATTCCTCGAATTTATAATTACATACAGCATAACCGCAAAAACTAGGGTTTTCGGTTATCTCATACACCAAAATAAAAAAATTAGAAACAAACCACAAACAAAGGGAAAATCAACGACTAATTGTTGCCAAAACAAACCGAAAGACAAATAATTTAGAGGATTGAATCTATTAAGTTGAATGAAAACAATATAAATCAGTAATCAGCGCTTACTTGTCAGATATTCGAGATTAAATCATCAACGGTTACCTTTTGTTTGTTGGACGATTTGGATAAGACAGTACAGCTCCTTCCTAATGAAGAGCCCTCTTCTCCGGCTTCAATTTTCTTCGTTTAAGCCCTAAAACCGTATGGCTGTGGAGTTTTCTGTATTTATATTACCTGTGCCCTAAACTCTTATCTAAACCGTTGAACCGGGGTCGGTTATCTTGTAACTTTGGGCCGAGCTTTGATCAGAAAACTTGGACCGGGCCAAAATCTAATGGAAAATGGGTTAGCGTTGAGCCCAAATCTGTGTAGGAGTTCATTTTCTTATCAATAGTTACATTCCATAATTCCATTTCTTGGTTTTTGGATTTAAAATAGTCGATTAAAAAAAATAATAGATTATGTATTCTGAGGGAGAGAAGTAGGGAACTTGGAACTAAATTGTAAGGGTGTCGATTCGGAAAGTCGCATTGTGTTTTTATATGACAAGACACATGGTGGTTTTTTTTATATAACACGAGTACGACATGAAAAGATACTAGTAATTTTTAATTAACACGAAAATGATACAAGTAAAACACAACAAAGATAGCATAAATTAACAATTACTTAATTTAATTCATATTTACTCATAAAAACACAATAAATACATGTTAATACTTTGTCAATTTTGTGTTGGATTTTAAAAACGAACATGACACGACACGATGTCGTTTTTTTACTTCCGACATAAACACGAATTTGAATTTTAGTTTTGTTTCATGGCGTGTATTTTTTTTTCGTGTTATTGATTGACATCCCTACCGAACTATAATCATTAAATTAAATTGATAATGTCGTTGCATTTGGAATGAAGGAAACATTATAAGGTGGTATGTTAATATGATTGGTTAGGAGAAAATTCAAAAACTATTTGGTGACGCTTAAAAATACTAATGACATAGTTCATTGGGTCAAACTTTCAGGAAACCGGCAAATACTGAAATGGGAAGGGGTGATGCATCAGACGTCCTGTCCCGTTTTATGCTTTGTGTTTTGCTTATGTATCGAGTCGGATTCATTCCTTTGGTCTCCTTAGCTTTCATCCTTCATATTAGGATACTTAAGGAGCATTGTGAGCTAATAATGATGAGTTGACCCATAAAAGGGTATATTGATATTTTGATTGTAAGATCCAGTTTTGGGATGTTTCTGATTTTGGGTTAACGGATCGTGATTTGATCGAATAAGGGTCTTGTGCTTCAAGGGAATATAGTTTAGGCCCTATTGGATGTTGATCATATTGGTTAAGTGACTTAAGCCCTTGAACTGTACTTTAATCCCTTGAATTGTGCTTTAGAGGCAAAGGGTAAATGGGAAAAAGCGTTATTTTACACTTCTTGCATGAATTAATGAATTTAGTTCGGTATGTTTTAAGTCAAAAGTAATTAGATAGAATTGCGGGGCTTGTCATTACCTTTGTGTGCATATAAAGATCACCGAAAATGAAGTTGAAACGAAGATGTTATGGATGTTTGCAGCTAGAATGGATTTGGAGAAAAACCTGTCACCACGACATGGTGACTGGTGAGGAGTTCACCACACAGTGGCGAATTGTGCAACCTAAGCCCATTTTCGCAATTAAAGGCTTCAACCTGTTGTTTTATGTCATTTTTGCAGCCTTTATTGCATCAATAGCCCTTCTTTTATCAAACCATACTCTCTCTTTATAAATTAAGCCCCTCGTCTCTCCTCTCATCCGTTTTTAAGGAGTTTTTTGGCTTCTGAGTGTGTTGTTCTTCAAAGACTTGGTTTTGGAGCTTGGCAACCGAAGAGATTAGTATTCACTACCTTTTGGACCCTTATAGTTGGTGTTAGTTGTTCTGTTGTTGAGGTTGGTGTTGAGCTTTCTGTTGTTTAGCTTAGGTGAGTTTCCTCACCATACTATATATTGTTTAGCTCATGTGAGTTTCCTCACCATATTATATATTGCAGTATGTGTCCTAGAGTGATAGGATGTGGTTAGACTGTTATATGTTGTTAGGCAGGTAGACTTGTAGATTGTTACATGTGATGCTGATTTGTATGTTATATTTATTATGTATATGTCGACATATTTGTGAAAGGGTTAAGACATCCAGCTTCGTGCGAGTCGCCAAGAGTATTGGTTGCACAACTTTAGGTTGAGGGATAGTAAATGGGTGAGTTGATGGCAACATCAACTAGAGTGTTGTGAGCCTAGATATCCATTAGGTTGGAGTGGACTGTTGCATGTATGCATGTGTGTATATCATATGTGGTATTTTAGGAAACTCACTAAGCTTTGGCTTATAGTTGTGGATTAAATGTTTTTCAAGTATTATCAGTTCGTAGGAAGATGAAAACATGATTGTACACACCCATCCGAAGTTGAATGAATTGAAATTTCAATAACACTTTTCTTTATAACTCTAATTTTGAACTACGGTTTACAAATAAAGGGGTTTTCCTTGAATATGTCTTATGAAAATATGTGTTTAAAAAACGAAAAATTTATTCTGAAAATTAGGAGATTACACTGACAACATTATGATGATGATTTTAGGTGGTTGACTTGGAAGCATAATACTTGAAGAAATATAGTCAAATAAGGAAGAGTGTGGTATTGTTATTGTTGGATCGAGGGTGAGTTATCGGAAACACACACCCTTGCTTTTGTGATTTTATAAGTTTTGTTGGTTTTCATTATATGATATTATATGTAAGCTATGTAAACTATATGTGCATTCATGAAATGACATTTTTGGAAATGATTTGATTATAAAAGAAAAAAGGTTATATTTTTGGAATTGTTATAAGCATCTTACTTATGCATATCATGATAGGATGGGTTAGGAGTAGATTTCCAAATAATTGTGACACCCGTTTTCCAGGATAGATCGGTTTAGGGTTTCAAAGAGTCAAAAATGTCGAATTTTGGAGGAAATGGGTTCTCACGACGTGACCTTTGAGTGGTCACGACGTGAGGAGAGTTAATATGTAAATTTTGTTCTAGACTGATCTCACGACGTGAGGCATAGAGGCTCACGATGTGAAAACTGATGCAGCTCAAGCCCATGATCTTTTAGGGTTTCCTTCGTATTTAAGCCCCTCTAAACCCATTTTTGGGTTCATTATCAGCCTCCAACCCCCCCCC